AACTTAACCCTCAAAACTAGTAATAGCAACAAACAAATTACAAGCCAATTTGACTATGCAAAACGTGACATTTTCACTCACCATTCAATTCAACCCAATGCCAACAACCAACTCCCATTGATTTCAATGAACAAAAAACTAACTATATATTTGAATTTCAAAAATTTCCTGAGGTAGCATTTGGGAATTCAGATTTGGATTACGAATTTAAAAATAATGCAAATTGTATGATAAAAAATAATGCAATTATAATATTTAAGATTATTTCTCAAATTCATGGATTTGTTAGATAACTATTAAGTATAGAATTTGTAACTCTTATACTATTTATGAATTTGACAATATGTATATATGTTTGAGTCTCGACTCCTGATCCGACTCGGGGTGTGCTAGTCCATATTTCTGACACGCGACGGATTTGATCGCGTTTAGATCTACCGTTTGATTCTTCCGTGAAAGTTTCACCACGGAGTTGACAATTTCGGCAATGGCTCGAACTCGTGCCTCTTCTTTGGTTTGCCATGTAATAGGTTAAAATTAGGATCAGTGACGCATGCCATTACACTTGAAACTAGTGACATATGATACCATTTGATTTGGGGTTAAATTTATTTTAATTTATTAAAATTAGTACTAAATTGATAAAATATATAAGTAACAATGATCAAATGTGTAATTATACCAAATATTTTAACTGCCACATCAGCTTCTCTGTTAAATATTAACGGCAAGTGGCTTAATTGAATGCTTTTAAATAGTTGAGTGACACGTGTAACACTCATAACATGTATATGTCTCGAGATACGAGTTAAAGATGTTACACCAATGTTATAGACATTCGTTGATCATAAATGCTTAAAATTTTGTTTTCATTTCCTTCCCTTTTCAAGTTTACAATTGTTTCACTAATCGTGTAAAATCATAAAATAAAATTTAATCGTTCAAAACAAATACAATTTTAGACAACAATTAGGCAATTTAATGCAGTTTCATAAATTATATAAAACTGTCTAAACACTGCTTAATTAGGAAACCATTTAAAACATATATATATATATATATATATATATATATATATATATATATATATATATAACTAAGCTAACAAAAAATGGTCCTAATTTACTATTACACACCATTTAATAACAAATATGATACAACAACATACAAATATAATATACCTAATTTAGTAATATTAGGTATGATTTTCTGAAAGGATACTCAAGAGACACCTCATTTCACGTTCATTTCTCTATTCGAACCTACGCATGAAATTTATCACGCGCTAAATAAAACTTATTGAGACAATATCATAGCTAAGGTGAGGTAAAACATAAATATCATAAAGTAATATAAATCATAAATCTGTAATTTAAATAAAAACAATGAAACTTTCAAACCAAACTATTCAAGCCGCTTTCCTCTTTGAAAACCTGAAAATCATCATCTCATGATTTTATAAAAAAATCATGTAAATCAACATCAAACATAACATACATTTTATATTATTTCATTCGTACATATTTCAGAACTGTCATTCTATTTCCATATTCTTTCTTTTAGATACTTATCGTAATTTTCACATTTACTTTCATAACCCTATATATATTTAAAGATAATGCAAGGTACGTGAGTCAGATATAATGTGTTCACTAAGCACTACAAGGTGTCAATCATCAGAATCAGAATATGCATTCCAAGTGCAATCATATCATTAATACCAACGGTGCCATACGTAATGTATACGAATGTACCAAAACTTAACTTGAACTTTACTCAACTTCCTAGCATGCCAAGTATATCTACAACTCTCAATGCAACATACAATGAGCTTCTATATCATATTATATTCATATAATAATCACATTTTCATATCATAATCAGTTTCAACTTATCATCATAAGAATCATAATTTGGGCAGTTTATACCTGAAATCATTCATAATTAGAACATAGATATCATGTAAAATACTTTGAGCAATTTATGCTCTAAAATAAATTCAAATAACATTTATGAAATCGTTAAAGAAATAATTACATTTCTAAAATAATAGATCGTTCTTAAAATTATATTTGAAAATTCATTCGAACATCTTCTCAGAAAATATCATAGAAAAACGTATTGAGTAATTTCATACGCAAAAATCATTCATAAATCTCTATATAAGCATTATGAAAGTAATCCATATTTATAATTAAATCATACTTAAAAATTCATACTTTAAAATAATAATATGAGATTGACTTATCGTAAATCTTCCTCAATTAGAATAAATAATTAAATAAACTATACTCCCTTTTGCCTTACTACTGAAACTTTAATACGATACTCTTTTACTCAAGAACTTTGCTTTTCGCTTTCGAGTCACTGGATCACAATGATGATCCCTTTATCCATGGAGGTTCAGGCAGCATTGAAGAAGAAAGGCTGATTTTCTTCTTATTTTTTCTCAATAATTATGGCTTAAAACACTTGGCACAAAACTAATATAATTGAATTTAAAATGCAATTAATGAGAAATTTCAACTTTACCATTAATAAATTATGATAATTACCAATTATCATTGAAATATATTCCATTAAAATATCTCATAGTAAAATATAAACCAACTTGAAGTTGTTTTTCTACTTTAGTCATGCAATTTTTGAAAATTACAATTTAGTCACTTAATTTTCCCAATTTCGACTAAATAGAAAAAAATTAACTTTAATTCCTTTGTTCCATGCTAAATTTCATTGTTATAAAATATGGAAATAATATTTCCAACCTTTATCTAACATCCTTCGAATTTTTGTAAAATTCCAGTTCGATCCTATTATCCAATTTCTTACCAGATTTTACTACTTAATAACTTTTAATAAAAATCTCGAATCAAAATTTTGATCCACACGAAAATTCTTATTTCGAGATGAACTATTCATTTACAGGACGAAATATATAACTTTTAAAAATTATATTTTTGATCCCTAAACTTTTCAAAATTTATACTTTGACCATTAAACTTTCAAAACTTATATTTTGGTCACTACTAAACAATTTGGGGTACTACAACCTGACTGACAAAATTTTAAAAATGGTGATCATAATGAAAAGGGACAATAGTTCGGTGATCACTTGTATAGTTTACCTTTTATTTTAAATAATTTTTTTAAAATTTTTAACTAATTTATAATTATACGTTAAATTTTTTTAAAATTTTAAACTTTCATAAATTTTAAATTAATAATATATATCGTTAATAGTGCTCACCGTTACTTGTCAGTGTGAAAAAATCATCCCAAGATTTGAAGATTATTAGTTTGATTTAATTTTATTAATTTTATAGGCAATGCATAAAGAAAAAGGAAGAGATAGTTGATGGTTTTTTTTGTTGATTAGACTTACTATAACTACTCATTCTTAATAATTACCTTTTAAAAAAATAAAAAAAAATTGAAGAGGAAAACCACGTGTTGAATATGTGCGTGACGTGTGCAAGCGACGGCCGTGGATGTGACGTTTGCTTTGTTTTACACTAGAAAAATGGCTGCTTTCATCAAAAGATGGCTGCACGGCGAAATCTAATTAATTTTTAATGATTTTAATAAATTAAAAATACTACTAATAAAATAAATACTAATTATATATATATATATTAAATACAAGATTATTATAATAAAAAGTCACCAATGTTTAAGTAAGTTTTTATTTTTCTAATTATAATTTTAAAAGTTACAAATTAATCACTAACATTATCGATTTATAATAAATCGTTCACTCACCATTAACTGTAAGTGATAGAATGCTGATGTCGTCATTAAACTATTGATCTGTTACATTTTTTGACCGGGTCAAACATTCCCTTCACGATAACCTATATCGCACACCTGATTTTGGTGAGTGAGTTTCTCAACAGAGAGTTTCTAAGTACACAAGGATACGAGTCGAGACATTGCTTAAGCTACCCCTGTTGATTAATTTTAAATGATTTAATAATTAAAAATGGTACTAATAAATTAAATACTAATTATATATATATAATTATTACTAAGCTTTAGAATCTAAATAAAATTAATAGCAAATCTCATGTTTATGGATATATATTTAATGTCATTTACTCTTTATTCCGGTTTATAGTAAATGTTTATTGTAATATCTCTTCTCCAGCTTTATTAATTTATACTGCTTTTTTACTTTAAATTAATCAAAGAAATTCAACATTATACTTTCATTCTGGAATGATTATTGCAAGAGTTTATTCTTAATTTGATGTTCTTCGATCATTTAAATTTATAACTTTAAAATACTTTTAAAATATATTAATTAAATTAAGATTCGATCGATAAAATTTTGAGTAGTCTCGATAATAAAAAGAATGTTATTCTGTTAAAAATACTCAAATTTAAATGGTTACGTCTATACGGTATTATGTGTTATTGATAGGCTAAATAAGATTATGAACAAATGCTATTCTTTTTAATAATTAGAGATGATTACTAGATAATATCTACTCATATTTTTATAGTCATCGATCATACGCATATAACTTATAGAGTTCGAACCAATATCTCTAGAGAAAACAACATTACCTTTTAACAATTGAGGTGTCTGCGTATTGTTAAAAAAGTATTATCAATAAACTAAAATCTAGTAGAACGTAGGAAAGGGGATTTTTTTTGTATAATAATTGGTATTCGATCTATTGATCGACTAATCCGGATCGGAGGTGACCCTTTCAACCTAATTTAGTCCATCCGCAATCGCCAAGATTCAAACCGTTAATTTTACGTAAGAAATCTAATGTCTTATCCCACTATACCAACGGATTACCCGAGGAACAGATATCTTTGTCTATATATAACACTCACTTTAGTTTCTCAAACTGATCTTCTCTCATTACCAATCTCTCTCTTTTGCTGTGTTACGGTTTCAGTTTCTGGCTCTTAATTGACAAATGGCAAACCTTATTTTGATACTCTTTTATTTGCTTTAATCTCAAATAGGGTCCAACTCATAAACATTGCTCCACCTTCTTCTTTCTCTCAGATTTTCCTTGATAAAAAATCTGGGTTCTTGTCAAAGATTTCTTTTTGGTTTTCATTTTTAAGAGTTGTTTGAGGATTATGGAGCATGGGGAGTTGGTCTCTGGTGAATGTATGAAGGAATCTGCAACTTTGGTGAATGGTTCATCTTCTACATCACCAGTTCTTGGCTTGAAGCTTTCACAGACACCCTCTTTCTTAGAGAAGGTAGATCAATTATTCTTACAGAAAGGATATAGCTTCAATGGCGAAGAACAAGCCGACAACAGCTCTAGTGATGGGAAGCCAAAGGAGAATGTTTTGCAGCATTCAAATAAGCTGAAAGCTGAGAATTTCCTCATTTCGATGCTTGGAATTGGCTCATGGCAGGTGAGGAATAGACAATACTTCTTTTGCTATATGAATTTTTGAGGAAAAAAATATCAAATCTTTGTTGCAGAGGGTGTCGAGAAACGATGGTGAGTTGGTAGGCAAATGCTATTTTGCTAAAAGGAAGTTGGTATGGGAATTTCTGGAGAATGGGTTGAAAAGCAAGATCGAAATCCAGTGGTCTGATATTCTGTCGTTGAAGGCTGTTTCCAATGAAGATCAACCTGGAATTCTTGAACTTGAAGTAATTGTCATATTCTAATTTTGATTTTATACATATATAGCATTGAATTGATTATGATCCAAGTTCTTATGTGCACTTGTGCAGTTAAACCAGCCTCCCGTATTTTACCATGAGATCGACCCACAACCAAGGAAGCACACACAATGGAGAATGGTCTCGGACTTCACCGGAGGACAAGCTCCTACCTACAGGAGGCACTATCTCGAGTTTCCTCCGGGAGTCATCGACAGGCCCCTCGAGAAGCTCTTGGGTTACGACCATCGGTTGCGTATGTTGAGTCGACAAGGCTTCCCAACTCTCGACTCACCGTACTTTCCAAAACATACATTTGAAGGTTTCTCTTTGGATTTCGGTGGACAAATGCACATCACTCGACAACAACAACAACTTTCGTTTCCAAATGTCCCAACAAATTATCAAACATACCAGCCTGCACCACTCAGTTCATCCATATCAGGTATGAATGTAGGAGATGATTCAATTCCAAACCAAATTAGAGGAAGTGTGCATTTTCAAAACAACTATATATCATTGGAACAAGATCAGCTTGGAGGACTAGTCCCTATGCAGCTACCATCAAATGATCATCATCAAAGCATGGTATTCAACAATTCACAGACTGGGGTTTCAAATAACATGGCGGAAGACGATTTATTCATGCAAGGTCATCTTGGGAACAATGTTGTCGGTGGGGGGCAAATGTATGCTCAAGTTATGAATTGGTCGCCCGACAACAACTCATTTTCTTCATCGGTTATTACCGATGACTTCAATCATGATATCAATAATTGGACTCATGATTTTAATTTTAGGCAGTGGCAGTAAGGATGTAGAGTTTGTTTAGTTAGAACTTTGAGAACAAAGTAGCTAAACTCAGTTGCCAAACAAAAAAATATTGTCAACTTTTGTTATATCATATGCCTATGAATATAGGGAAGTCTTTTTTTTCTTCCGGTTCCAAGGTTTTGCTTTGACTAATCCAGACCGACTCGGGTTCCACACTTGACTTTGGTATGTGAGTCTCAATGGGTATAGTTCACACCAGATGATTTAGATAATGAGCCACAATGATCCAATTGAAGTGCTTGTAGACTTGAAGGATCAGATTGGTGAAATGATGAACTTAGGAGGACTGTCAATGAAATTGGAGGATAAATGAGCAATGTGAAACAATGGTGTTCAGCGGGATCAAACCCATGCCTGAGCAATTTCTCCACAATTTCACCAATGGGTCCTCAAACTTCGTTAAACTCCACAAATTTAGTTGCCTAAGTCTCCAAATTTCTTAATCTATTATCATCAAAAAGCATTTACAGGAACAATACTAGGTATTTAGCTCATTTTAACATTAAACGGATATAACGTAACTCGTGGGTAAAAAATATTAACTTTTGGGCTTACAATTATGGTTCCATAACTAGGGATGACAACGGGGCGGTTTCGGGCCGGGGATTGATCCCCGTTCCCGTTCCCGTTTAAAAAACCCATACATGTTCCCGCTTAAAAAACTACGGGGATTTAAACAGAGATCTCCATCGGGTAATCAAGGAAAACCGCGGGGAAACGGGTATTTCCGTTTAGCATAAACGGGTATCGGGCCGGGTATATATATTTAAATTAAATATATAAATATTATATATTTTTTTAATTTAATTTAATTTTATTAATATTATATATATAATAATTATTTTTAATATTTATCAGGCTGGGTATCGGGTAATCGGGGCGGGGATTACCAAACCCGTCCCAGTTTAAAACATTCGATTTTTCTCTTTCCCCGTCCTCGTTTATCATCCCCGAACCCAACTCATTTAATTCGATTTTCGATTTTTCCCGATGGGTTCGGTTTTTTTTGCCATCCATATCCATAACACATATTATTCTTTTATAAAAATATAATGCTTCTAGTATAATAAATTTATCAATGATTGTAATGTCCCAAAATCCAGTTTAAAAGCATTATTTCAGCAATCATATCTTGACATTATTTAGTTATAAAAATTTAGGCAAAAGTGATAAAAAATACAAAGTTTAAAGGGTTAAATGGTAATTTCCTAAAATTACGAGTAATATTTTTGGATTCTAGAATGTTCAGGGACAAAATCTCTGATTTTTCCCATTTATGTGATGCTTAAAAATAAAATAAGGGAAAAAAGGATATTTAGGGCTTAAGATATCCCAAACATACATTTATTTGCATTGAAATCATCTCTCTTGCCATTGTACAAATGACTGTCTTTGATGAAAATTTATCATGTGGATCAATAATTTAATAAAAAATTATTTTTCTTGTAAAACATGATCAAATTCAACTTAGAAATCTTATAGTAATGATTGTTGTGAATCTGAGTTCTGAACAAACATTCATGCATGTCATCTAATCTTAATTTCTTTTGAGAATTCTACGTTTATATTTAGTTATTAATTATGTTTGATTATATTAATTGATTTACTTGCAATATTAATTAAACTTGATTATAATGATTAATTTGTATTTTGTTAATTACAATTATCAAAATAATATCATCTTGTATTTTAATTTTGTTAGATTTTTTTTTTTCGAGCAGTGGAGAATTGAGGATATTCTCCACATATATCACAATTGGTACGTGTGATGGACAAGTTAGATTTTAAATTTAACATGTTACCAAAAATTTAAGAACAAATAAAGAATGTACGATGTCGATGTCATCTATCGAAGTTGAAATGCTCTGATACCATATTAAAGACTTCGATGGACAATAAGTCTAGTAAGGTCAATTTACAATATTATTGCAAAAATTATGTCAAAAAAGAGTTATGAGTGTGCTAGAGCAAACCATCAGTGAGAACAAATGTGCGTTTATGAGGGGGCAGCAATTTTCGATGATATCCTAATTGCAAATGAGATTATCCATTCCATGGGTGCTAACGACAGTGAGTCAGGTGGAGTAGCTTTGAAGCTAGATTTCTCTAAGGCGTATGATTGTGTGAGATGAAATTTTTTCGACATGGTACAATTTAAGATGGGGTTTGGAATCAAATAGACGAGGAGGATAATGGAATGTGTGTCTTCGACAGGAGTATCCGTTTTGGTAAATGGTTCCACAACTCCAGAGTTTCATATGCGAAAAGGGTCGAGACAAGGGGATCCGTTGTTCCCTTTTCTTTTTATGATGGTTACTGAAGTTTTGAGCTTGTTGTTGGATAAAGCGAAGGCAAAAGGAGTATTCAAAGGTATTGATAGTATTTTACCGGATCAATCACTAATACATCTTCAATTTGCAGACGATACATTACTCTTTGTAAAGCTGAAGGAAAAGGTAGTTAGGCATGTGAAGCGTATACTAAGGTGTTTTGAAGCTTGCTCCGGGTTGAGCATAAATTTTGATAAATCATGTGTAGTGGGTGTGGAGGTGGATCCTAGTCGAGTTGAAATTTTGGCTCAAGTTTGCACGTGCAAGGTGGGGGAGCTGCCCTTTTTTTACCTTGGCATTCCCCTTGGTGTTGACCCTAGAAGAGTACTGACTTGGGAGCCAGTGGTGGATAGATTCAAAGCGAAACTAGCAGGATGAAAACACAAGTCCTTATCTTTTGCTGGCCTTGTTATCCTGATAAATTCAGTTTTATCTTCCTTACCATTATATTATATGTCATTGTTTGAGATCCTTACGGTGTTGTCAAAGATTGAAAAGATTAGAAGAGTCTTTTTATAAGCTCCGATTGATGGGAAGAGAAAGATGGGGAGAGTAAGTTGGAACCAAGTGTGCCTGCCTAGAGCTAAAGGAGGTGCGAACGTTGTTGATCTAAGAGGAAAACAACAGTGTGTTAATGGCAAAATGGGACTGGCGTTATGCTTTGGAAAAAAGAGCGTTTTGGAGACGAATTATTTGTTCAAAGTATGGTGGGTTGCTCGGGAGGTGGAGGTTGTGTGTTTCAAATTTAAGGGAAATATCTATTGTGTGGCGAGGTATCCTGTTAAATTGGAAGAAAGATTGTGTAGCTAAATGGTTAAGTGACGATTCTTTTCATTGGCAAGTGGGGAATGGAAAAGATATTATCTTTTGGGAAGATGCTTGTTGTGATCATGCGCCATTCTCTATATTGTTTCCAAGGCTGTATAGGTTGTGTGTTTCTCTAGAACTAGAATGTATGTTGATACCCTTATATATTTTTCTTCGGCACCACCTTTATTAGTTTATTTTCTATGCTATGTGATCGGATCTGGGCAAATAGGCAGTCTGCTGCAAGGTCAAAGGAAAGAAAAATGCAGTAGATAGCTGGTGCTGAGCTTAAGCGAAATATACAGACATTGCAAACAGAAGCAACGACACTCTCCGCTCATCTGACTCTGCTATTACAGGTATTCGTATGGGCTCTGCGCCTTCTTTTCTTGTGTTTGTACTTCAACATCGTGATTGCCGAAATCAGTGAGTTGAAACTGCTGTTGTAAACAATGGAGCAACAGGTTTACTTGCAAGATTGTGAGCACCTCTTGATATACTTCATTAGAATAACAATAGCTTTAACGTATTGCCTTTTCTTATTATTTTTGTCTGTTACCTCTTCATCATAATGGAAAAAGGTTTTAAGGATTTTGCCTGTGAGAATTTGGTTGGATGGCAATCAGAGAAGCAAAAATAGATTGAATCTGCAATATGATTGATGTCTGTTCTTTGTATATACATGCCTTCCGTGCATTGCTTATAGGTATGCATTTTACAACATAGTACCTCCAACACCTCTTATGTGTGTAGGAAAAGATGCTATTACAAAGTACTTGAATGGTTCGTTTTTCAATTTTTGGCTTGCACATAGTAACGGCTGTTAACGCCGAGTGATCAATTTGTTATAAATCGATAACATTGGTGACCAATTTATTACTTTTGAAACTTTAATGGGAAAAACGAAAAACTTACTCAAACATTAATGACCATTTGTGTAGTTTACCCATAAATTAATTAATGGATTTTGATGATTAGACTAACCATTATTACTTGTTAATGAGTTTATCTTTTTTTATTTGGACGGCGAACTGCGACGACAAAAGTTTGATCGTTGATCGTTTTTATTATGAAAGAGATGTGATTATGAGAAAGAAGATGAATATCAATTTAGGTTGTGGAGAATTCCAATCATTTGATTGTTATGAGATAAGGATATTTATGACAATCCTTAACTATTGACGTTAAACATGATAATTATAGTTATTCGTAAGTGAGCTAACTAAATATAACTAATAGATAAATCTTAAATTTTACTCTAGGAGGTTATGTGGACCTGTCAGATGTATTATCTTTACACTGAAATTGATTTGATAGTTTGTGTCCGAATTAGAATGCAATATTTTTTTCTGAAAATTCTAATTATTTTTGAAAATAATTACATATTTATAAAATTGTGAAGAAATTGGAAAAATAGAAACTTCTTAAATGAATGAGAGATTTTTAAAATTTTAACAATATATTCTGATTTTATTTGTTGTTCTCCAGTTTAAAGATTTCTTGACTAATTTGGACCGACCCGAGTCGCACACTTGATTTTGGTATTTGAGTTTCCCATCGGGTATTTTTGTAATTTGCATACACAAGAACTTGAATTTGATATCTTACTTAAGCAATATCAGGCTGCTTACCACTTGAATCAACCAATTGATAGTAGATTTTGATTTTTGATACACTTTTAATATTTTTAGGATCCTTTTATGTTATATATATTTTTGAATGTTTTGCATTTTCTGTAATTTTATTATTTTTAATTATTTAAATGGATAGCGTTTATTTAAGCATATTAGAAATTTTCAAAATATTTAGTGACAAAGGGTTTAAAGTAATGAAAAAAATAAA